AACAGAGATAAAAGCTCCTGAAATGCAGAAACAATGCAGAATTTAAGAAACCAGCTTTGTGCTAAGACAACTTCTTTTGCATGTCTGTTGATGGAAGGTGATTAAAAACAGGGTTCAGTCATTTTTCATTGCTTTTTCCAGAAGATACTCAGCCTACACAGGTATGTTGTATCAGCAACTGATGTTCTGAAATCCCTGAAAACTCATCAGCTATTAAAGCAGCATCTTTCTAGATTCCACAAAAAATTAGTCTTATCCCAGTCTTATCACCAAAAACGTTGTGTCCTACACATCTGTATTTTTTCCAGTGCAACTACTTCACCCCTCCAGTCATATCCATCACTTTAATTCTGTGGAAGATATAATGAGCCTGGTTCTACAGGCCTCTTCTTTTATCAGCTCAGATCTCTCATTCCCCAGGGAAAGCAGTACAGCAGCGACTTGTCCTTTGATAGCAGTAGATAACTAACCTCATTTTGTAAAAGCAGAACTAAACAGAAGAGTTATTCTTTGTCTTCAGCAGCACTGAATCAGACCTCATTGCCATGTACTGAACCCAGTTGAAGAAAACTCAACGCCTTATGCATAATCATCAGGAAGCTCACAATTGCACCGTTTCCTTTTCTTTCTCTTTCCTTTTTTTATTTATTTTTTTTATTTTATTTTATTTTTGCTATTTACCTGGTATTTATTCAACAGAGTACCACAGTGGAGGTGAATGGGACAGGTCATTTTCCAGAGCTCAGCCCTTCTGCATACCTACCTGTTATGCTCAGGTCATATTTTTTGTATTTCTGTGGCAGTAATGATTAAAGACGTAATTGCTTTTAGAAATTAAAGCAAATATTTGGTAATCTTAGCCACGTAAGCCAGGCCTTTAGATATATGCTAATGTGCCTCAGCTTTCACTCAGCCAATGTTAACCAATCAAAAAATACTTAATAGCCAATGGCAAACCTATTTACCAAAGGTTTTTTTCTTGATTTTAAATATCCTTAGATACCTACTGACAGGCTGAACTAAAAAAAAAAAAGGACAGCATTGCAGACTTGGACAGCTATTTAGTTACAATGCCAAAAATATGGTGATCTATGTGCACCTGTGTCTGGAATGAGGTCCCATTCTGTAAGCTGTCATTGTATAAATAAAAAGTCCTTCTATTATTCCACAAGGATGAAGTTTATTATGATCTAAAGAAGAGAAAGAAGATGCACATCACAGATCTCTTGGTGAGATTTGCTTTAAGTGATCTGCATGACTGAGATCAGTGGTTTGGGTGCAGCAGATAGGATAAATCAAAATCATTTAGGACGAGAGGCCTGTGTTGTACTGACAGATGGGGAGTGAACAATCTGTACAAAGCAGCATTTCTCAGACAAAAATAAACCAAAACGTTAGTTAAGAAACATTTTGGGAATTTAAATAAATAAAAGCTTCAGCATTGTAATCTACTGTACCACTTTTGTCATTAAACCAAGAGAAGTACTTCACTCTCACACAACAGGAAGAAAGCTATGAAAACCACAAGCCGACCTCTCCACACCTTCATACTGGTGTTACTGCCTTCCATGGAATCACACCTGGACTGCAGTAGCACCAAGCAAGAGGAAGGATGGACCTGAAGACTGGAAATGAACTTGAGGGTTTTGATGAAACAAAATCCCCAGCACGAGATGCAAAAGGTGACTTTTGTGACAAGCGTTATCCAAATTCGTAACGGCTTTCTGTGTGTAACCTCATCCTGCTTCATCTGACATAATCTTAATTAGTCTTAGTTCTACTGCAGAGAAGCCCACTGAGGCAGTTAGCACCATATAATTAATCAGATGTTTCACACGTACCACAGCAACCAACAGCGTCAACTTTGATACAGCTAATACAGAGAAAAACTCTGCCTTTCCTTTTCACATGAACTAAACCATGTGGCATGGAATATACACAGCACTTCTCCTTCTAAGCACTGCTTAATGTCCTTTCTTCCTCTAACACATTTCCTAATGTAAAGTGTGTGTATATATATGTATTTTCTGCTGGTACAGGAAAACACACAATTTGATATTTCTCTTAAATTTCAGCTCCTTCACAGAAGAGTAAGTCCAGCAGCTGAAGTAAGCAATAAGACATAAGTCTTGCTTCTGGAATTCATAAATCTCAGGCTTTTTTTTTTTCCTGTGTGCTTTAGCAGCCAAGTTCCTGTTTTTAAGAAATGCAATTTTGCACCTGCACATAAATATGCATTTGAAAGCACTGTCTGCAACATGCAGTCATCACATAGCAACAGAAAATAAAGTATATAAATACAATAAACATACACAATGCACACACATTAACCCACTGGATTAAAAGCTTCACCACCTAAGTAATTGTAGATATTAGCTTTGTTCTACAGCTTGAGATTTATCTTTTGCCCTCATTGCAGGAGCCAAGTGTTGTGGTATTGTACCTACTGTCACTGTGGGGGAAACCATATGATTATGTTGTTTGATGGTGAAAAAGGAAAAACACACTGCTTAAGGAAAACAATTTTATAAAGAAGCCGACTGTCCATTCTCCTAAGCTTGCCCTGAGGTAGTTCAATGAGCAGTATAAAACCACATGAAGGCTTATTCAGTTTTTGTACAGCATCTGTAATACGCAGTGGTATTTATTAATAGCAAATGCAATACTTAATACACAGCAGTGTTTTGCTCGAGCAGAACATTGCAAAACTGCTTGCAAGAACAATTTACTCCATAACTAATATTCACCATAAGAAAGAGCAGCCTAATGTTTTGCAATTTCTCAGATTCTCAGAACAAACCAGCGAGATGATAATCCTCCTAAAAAGGCAGTATATCATGGTAGTTCATTTCAGGAATTGGCAGTGAATAGCTTAACACCTTCTCTACAGTGTTTGTGCTCCAGAGCAGTGAAGTTTCTCATACAGGAATTACTAAGAATTGTAACAGCCCCATGTTACCATCTGTGGTGGTACCTCAGGATAGGAACACACATAGTCTTATTTGCTATCTGAAACAAAGAGTCAATCACCATTACTGTGAAAGGTCTTGGGTGTCTGTTGTACCTGAATGCCTATCACAAGGCATGAGGCAGGCTACTGGAACTGCCAAGTTTCAGGTGCTGTCATCCATGATTACTGTTTGCCAAAGGAAGGAATAGAATGTCTGCTTCTCACTTTCTAATACTATGCTCTCTCCTATACAAATCTTTTAAGTTTCTTTTAATGTTGGAAAAATACAGTAACTGTAGTTTTGATGAAAGTGCTGCCAGGTTTGTTTTATAACCTGAATAAACCTAGAGTAACAATACAGTTAACAATTCACTCTTGCTCCTATTTTAGCAGAAGGCAAATATGTTATCAAACAACAGCAGTGAGCATGTATGTAAAGGAAGGGAAGATAAGATGTGGCAGTTGTATCTCAAAGCGCACACACACACCAGAAACAACTCAAAGCACATCAGTGCATATACATAGTGCATAGCTTGATGATCTTCCATCTCAAACACACCGGTGTCCTTTATCTTCTAACCCTAGCTACGTTTTATAATCCTAGAGCCAGCTATGCTCTAACTCAGATTCCCCACTCTGGTAGCCTTAGTCTGAATGTCAGACAGAACATTTGGCTAGCATAGTGTGCACACTAGCCACAGTGGGCTCACAATGTGATTTTAATTAGTATTTCTAAGATTGTTAGCAGGATGTGAATGGAAAGTACATAAGCAGAAAGCAACAGAGGTTAAGCAAGATTCACGGGGCTAATTTCACCAGCAAGATCTGTGATTTAAAAACTCCTGGCTTTTAAGAACTCGTAGCTTTTCCATACTTTCCTCCCTGACCTCAATGTAAGCAATACTTAGCATCTCCAGATCAGTAAAAAATGCTGAACTCCTGGCATTCCACTAGTTAGCGATCTGAAAACAACTTTCAGTGTACAGTATGTCCTTAGTTAGGTGATATAATTAATCTTTGGTCATAGCCACTGAAGACTTGCTCCCTACCCAATACATAGTAGCCCAGGGTATCAGAACTCTGTCATGAGAGTTGGGAATGGAATCAGACATTCTTTGGCTCTACCCAGACTCCTCTGAAGGTGTTGGAGTTGTTAATGAAAAAAACTGGTAGGAAGGGCAGTGACACTTCTTCCTGATAAAAGAATTTCCACACACATAAAAACCTGTAACTAAGCAAATTCAGTATATACAGAGAAGCTGGCAACAGTGCTCCACAGAAATATGCAAGTGTTTCACAGAAAACGGCCTCTGCTGTTTAGATCTACCTTTGACAGGATTTGTTACCTATGGTGCAGTAATTAGTCAGCAGTTGGTTTAACCACGGATACGCTGACTTGAATGCATTTTCATTTTGTAAAGTGTATCTCTGGTCACTCTTGTCACGTATCTACCTTCATCTCCAAAGATCCATGTGACATATCTAGAACATCTTTTCTCCAGCAGAGCCCTAAAGCATTTTATGCATCATATTCTTAGACTGTTATTGATGCCCAGATATTTCCAGCATGTATCTCAGCACGGACTGGTTTTGTCCAGCGACAGGAGAAGCACGCATTTATGTAAAGCAGTGAGGGATTTACAGTGCCATGCAGAGTGGAAAGTCTTGCTTAACAGTATTCTCCATATTGTTGATTTTATTTATTTTGCAAGGACTCAGAAATCCTGGCAGGTGTTGAGTTTGCAGCTGTGTGGAAACTAGAATCAAATGCTTACAGTATCCTCCAGGCAAAGTCCTTACAAATGACAAGTGCAATGAAGATGCCCTCTTCTCATCTACCCCTTCATTTTTGTTCCTTCAAAACAAACTTTTTTCCTAGGAATTTGCAACCACTAATTCTGGTAATAGTGAGAACTATTTTAGTGAGAACTATTGGTGATCAGTGGATGGTTGGACTGGGTGATCCTGTGGGTCTTTTCCAATCTTGGTGATTCTATGATACTTGTGCAAATTATGAAACAGGAAAGTCAAATCAAACAACAGCACTTACCCCGTTCTGTGTCATAGAGGTACACAAACTTTTCCCACTTGTAATAGGTCAAGAGACTCAAGATGGCTCCTTTTAGTGCTGGCCGCATTTGGATGACAAACTGCACGTCTGCATCTGTTGGGAAGCTGGGTGTGATGAAGGACGTGTGAAGGGCTCCACAAAACGACGTCAGTGTGTTCATTGACATCTGGTCATAGAATCCAAAGATGGCATAAACTCCTCTGGAAAACTGTGAGCAAACTGACAAAGAGAAACAGGGGAATTAAAAACTGAAATACAATGAATGCAAAAAAAAAAAAATATTGAAGTACATTTGAAGTGAGCCCACCAAGCAATCCTGAAATTATTTCGTATGATGCAGCAGACCAAATGAATTTGTGAAATATTATATATTAATTTCAGTGTAGCTGAGAGAGAGATTGCAGCAGAGGTGGCAAAGGAACCTCACAGATCAAGTGCAAAGCTCTGTCCATAGCAAGGACTGTGATCAGGAGATAAATGAGGTACAATACAGCACAGAAGTACTTCTAAACCAAAACATTTCTGGACTGAGGTAAGCAAGTCCCTTTTGTAATGAAAAATATGTTTCCAAGAAAAATGATGACTCAACGTCAACAATTCCACTTGCCAACAGTTGGATTTAACAACAATTTTTGAATAGCCATATATAATCAATGAAAATTATATAAAGAAATATTACATAATCAAATAATATTAAGATGTTATAATAATGAAATAAGCAAGAGAGTTAGGCACAGCAAGACAAAGAATAAATAGGAGGCTTACCCGTGTCATGGGCTCACTCAGGAAACTCCAGTGGAGTGGATCTCCCAAAGAGAAAGAGATCCTTCCCCACTGGTAGTCAGCTCTTAAATGGCTCTAGGAGAGGTGCAGCCAGGCTCCACCCCTTCCTGCAGCACAGGTGAATTGCTTTCACCTGTGCTCCCAGGGCTGACTCATTGCTCGCCTCAGGTGACTAATCAGAGGTTCAGGCTGTGACTCAGCAGTTCCCATACAAGCCCCATTAACCATTTTTGCCAAAACTCTGCATATTTAATTTTTCAGAAAGCAAGGAGAACATGTTACTGGTTAGGAAGATATGACTTCTAAAACAAAATGTACAACATTGCTATTTCTATAAGTACCATCACGAAACATTTCCTATCATAAATGCTATTCAGAATCACCAAAGCCTGTTAAAGTAATTTCTTAAAGGATTCTCCACCATATTAGCTCATTAGCCTCACGGATAACACCTTAGATAGGTACTCAGGTGTGAAAATTCAATTTTCTTCCAGAGGTGCAGATGAAAAAATAGTAATGCCATTAAGGAATTTAAGTGTTTAAGGCACTCTAACAGGCCTTGACCAGAAGTAGACACCAGCAGCAAATAACAGCTGATGCAAGCAGAAAAGAGATGCACACGAGACAGGAGAGGGAATAAGGAGTACTGATATCCTAAAGAAAAGTTTGCAAAAGTTCTCAAGCACAGCCAAGAAAAGATATAAAAGAAGTTATAATGCAGCAAGAATTAATTCCCAGAGGCATGACTGAGGAATTAAACACACGGTTTCAAAAGGCATTTCATTAAACTACATACCAGCAGGATATAAAGTAGAAAAGCTACCATAAAAATTATCCGCTGAAGTAACAAATAAAAGGCAGTAACTTACAGGTGAAAAAAAGGGGAAAATAAAGACTATGTGACAAAGTCTGGCAGTCTCCAAATCATTTCAATGGCATATAAACTCTCTAATTCCATCATAACAGTCACTGAAGTGGGGCAAGCAGGAGCTGGGTGTCCTCATATACACTGAGTCAGTATCTCACGGATCAGGCTTCTCTTACATATTTATTAATGGCCTAGTTTACCAGTTTTTATGTAGATTCTTACTGAGGAGAAAGCAAAAAAAGAGCAAGTCAGTGTATTCCAGGAAATATCCCTTCACGCAATGCAAACAAAACATACCTCCAAAAGTCTCCCGATGCTCAATGCCCAGAGCATTTCAAGCCATCCCAGATTCACCTGTTCTTTCTTATCAGCTTTGAGGCTCAGGAATACTGCTGAACTATGACTCCAGTGAAATCTCAGAGTTATAAGAACTGAGTGAAGACTCAGCAGGGGCTCAGAAAGCTTGTGCTTATGTTAGCATAAGCTAACCCTCTCAAGCAGTGAATAAGCAGAGACTGAAATCAGGCTGTGGACAGCCTGTTGTTTAGATGCTGTGTTGAGGGACGTGGTTTAGTGAGAACTATTGGTGATAGGTGGATGGTTGGACTAGATGACCTTGTAGGTCTTTTCTAACCTTCATGATTCTATGATTCTATGGTTCTATGACCATAAATAGGACCTTCTCCAAGCACTATCCAACAGCAAGATGGAGCTACTGTTGGCAGAAGACAACCCACTGCAGCCAAGAGCTTCTGATCTGGCCCTTTGGCTACTTGCAACTATTTTTGCTACAGAATTCTGGAGGATCATCAACAGTAACTTCTAACAAAAGTATCCTCCTGCCCAGAACTGTTTTCCAACTTAGATCTCTGTTCTCTGCAGATCTTTCAAATATAACACTTTTAATAGGCTATCAGTAGACCAGCTTTTAATATCTTAATCTCTTAAACTCCTCTGCTTTTTTCTTTATAGCTTATTCTTCTCGACTATCTATTCTGCATGCACTGTAGGGTGCCAATTCAATTTTACTGGCCCATTTAAAAGCCAAATAAACCTTTGTTTTTATAAGGGGAAGATAAAAAGACCAATTATCTTGGTCCTCGATGTTCATTTGTGTTTCTGAACTGACAATTTTGTTATGGTTTTGCAGCACTGGGTCTTTTGTTTATTCTGTAGCCTAATCTCCTGTTTGATCAGATGAAGCTCCTGAAGACATCCATGAAGCCATGGCCATCCAAAAACCAAACACATAATTACATTCATTTTAATGACATTACTATTCTAACATCAAATTATTCTAAATCAAAGCAAAATAATAATTACTAAAAAAAGTAACTAAACCTTAGCTTTAAGCTCTTTATACAAACTGCCTTCAAATTGACATTCAGAACAATCCTCATTTTAGAGTAAGAATTCTGGTATTTTCCTTAATTAACCACCATTGATTTATATTTGTTTTTCCCTCTTTGAAAAATGCACACGGTCAAACTCATACTCTGGCATTAAAGAACTGATTTGGATGAATCCTGATGAAACCTTGTTCCCCCCAAAATAGTCTTTTTTCTTTCTTTTTTTTTTTCTGACATATATCTTTAAGATGTGTTTTTAATTACAGTTATTGCTTCTGACACTGAGGATGTAGAACCATTCGCAGGACAGCACATATTTTACCACCTCATCTGAAAAAGCTGCAAGCTCTGTAAGAGAGGGACAGAGGGACAAAACACATACACAGCACTAGCAATAAAAACACAAACCTAATCAAACCCAAATAAATTAAATCTTTGCATCTCAGCTAAATAGCAGTTGAACCATCCACTCACCAGTAAACCCAACTTTTGTTGCTCCACCAGCAGTTCCATCCTCCCTCCAGTCACATCAGCCCTTTCACAGAAACTTGCCAAGATTAACCAGACATCATTTTCTTCACTCTGACCCCATGAAGGCTCCAGGTCAGAATCTCAAAAGGTGCCCCATTTCACATAAGTTATGAGATGTTTTCTGTCTTTTTTTATAATTTATTTTTTGCTTTCCAGCTGTATTTAGCTGTCCTATCTTTCAGTGATTGTGAGTACTCCTGACACAGCAAGGTTGTACAGGCTCTGACATTGCTATTATCTAATGCCTGGAAGCTAAAGTCACATCTTCTCTGACACCTTTTTATTTTATTTTATTTTATTTTATTTTATTTTATTTTATTTTATTTTATTTTATTTCATTTCATTTCATTTCATTTCATTTCATTTTTTAAGTCCAATTCTCATGCTAAAAAAACTGAAACTTTACTAGGAACATTTATAAGTAAGTTTGGATTTTGCTTGTTTAATGAAAAGATGAATAAACCCCAAACAAAAAATATGTGGGTGGATCTTACTGTGTCATTCCTCCAGTTGACCCCATCGATGCTCCCCAGCATGGCATGCAGTGCCCTCAGGACCCTACAGGCCCTGCAGTCAGGTCTGGGAATACAGCACCTAAGACACTTTCCCCTCTTCATGACTATCTGTATGGACAAATCATTTCCACTTTGTTCATCAGTATCTTGTAGGACGGTCTGAAAAAACAAACTCATATCACAAGGGTGCTGTAGAGTCTGTTTTATTGATAATTATATCCTTCTTTGGGCTGAAACTCTCCATAGGAGTACAGTGACAACTGATATTGCTGTTTGTTGCCCACTTTGGTTCCCCAGTTTTGTGTTCTGCATTTCCCTCAGCTGTGAAATAATTTTATTCCCTCCACTTTCCTCTGCCAATTGTCTTGGACTCTATACAATTCTCATTGTCAAACTCTGCCAATGGACTAAGGGCACTACTTTCAAATGGAATGACACACAACCTATTGCAGACCGCTTGCTATTTTCTATTCAAAGTCTCCCTGCTATGACTTCCTTGCTGCAACAATACAGGGGTTATCATTAACTCCACTTCATACAGCAAGCATACCGGCTCTTAGAGAGACTGACAATGTCTCTACTTCTTCCTTTCCCTTTCATTTCAATACACGGAATGAACAGGCAGTCTCTCTCTACTTGGAGCCCTGAGGAAATGAGCACAGCAGTGCCCATGAATGCAGAAGGAGCTACTTTGGGGATGCTCCAGGCAATACGATCTGAGCATTTCCTTTAAAGACAAACTCACTGTATTTAAAATGATCATTTAAATGAAATGAAATTATCTATTACTAATAAAACTCGTTTTCGCATTAAATTCTTAAGGCACTGAATTCTGTCAAGAAGAAAAGATTTCATTGTGTTGTTATAAATTCAGCTGAAAAAAAGAAGCATTTCTGAAAACAACAATTTCTGAGATAGTTAATAGCAATTATTCGTGGAGATGGAGGTGAAGCAAGGAAGTTACAGCTTGAAATTGGATCCAAATCATCCTGAGACCTTGGCCATAACATCACTTTGCATCATACTTGATAAAAAACATGCCTTTGCAAATATCAAAAATGTCCCCCAAACAAAAAGAAACCTCACAGCAGAAAGCAAAATAAAATGATGATGTACTGTTGGTACTTCATTCATGGAATCAAACAGTTTTTTCAGTGATTCAACTCAAGTGTG